TGTAATTGTGGGTCCGGTTCTGCTGTTTACATGAGGAGTCTGTCATGTAAATAGGGATTCAAAGAGCTCACTGTCTGGGAGTCATTTTAGCTGAGGAAGTGAAGACTATCAAGCTTCTTGGCTCTTCAAGCTAGTAACTTGTCAACGTAGGGGGACTAAAGTTTAGGAACTGACCTGGTAGTGGTTGTCGTTTTGGTCTGAAGGTGGCTTTCCAATACCCGGTGGACTTAAAAATCCTTGCTAAATTTCATGTTGTCTTTACAAACATTTTGCTGCTCTCCAAAATTTTTGGACCTTGGAAAAATCAACTTGCAATTTGTCAGTAAGTCCTTCTGTACCTCAGTAAGAAAGGATACAAAAGGACTGTCGGTTAAGGTCTGTTTGAGGTGCTGAAGTTCACCACGTTGGTAATAGCCACTAGCCGTTCCTTGTACGCTAAGTTCTTCAGAGCATCAAGCACCGAAGGCCCAAGTGCCAAGGTAAAAACAGAGCAAATGTGAAAGTTGTGGTGAGTGCCTAATATGAGGTAAAAGTCATGGGGGTCATCTGACAGATGTGGAGAAACAAATCTGGTGTTGAATTGTAAGTCTGGGAAATAGGGGCCAGCCCAAAGAGGGATAAAAAAAACCCCCAAACCAACATGCAGACAAACTACTTTTTCATGAAAGTTGTGTTCTGAGCCTTTTAAAACACTTTACTGGGCTAGTGTGGCTCATCCAAATGAGGTTTCAGATGCTGTTGTTTATGGAGCTAAAAACCACTGAAGCTTAAAAAGGTTTCATCCTGTTATGTTGATGAGTACGACTTGCTGTTTCACAGCCTTTGAGATTTGTTGTTTGCGACCTAACTGCTGGACTCTTCAACTGGATGTCACGATTTACTGTTTGATAGTTTAAGAACCATTTACTACTCTCTTTTTTGAGCACATGTTCACGTAAGGCTTTGAGACAGAGACATGTGATGTTGTCTGTTTCTTAATTGTGAGCAATAGCTAAAAGCGAAGCTAGGAACTGCCGGTTGCTTCCAGGAAGATGTTGCTGCATGTTTGGCCCAGGGAGCTCTTAGGATTCTTAGGAGCAAGTGTTTGCGCTGGGTTAGTGACGCTGTGTGCCTAAAGGTACCATACAATTAAGGAAGTGTTGGTTGCCTTCCATCTGTGTGCACTTGCTTTTGGGTGGCACATGTTACAGTAATATGATGTTAGTAGGGTCTGTTTGTGTTAATTTGTGACTAAATGCTGGAGAGCACTAGAGCATAAATACTGTATACATGCAGAGAAGGACTAGGGAATGGAATCAGCAAAATGGACTTTTGAGATCATGTGGGGAACCTGAAATAAGGAGGAGAAAAGCACTTTTTACAGCCTTTTCTTGGTGCCTCTGGGTTGTCCTTCTAGCACAGCTGTGATGGAGGAAAAAACTTTCAAACACTGATAAACAAATGCTAGAGATGGTCTGTAAATTTATGACAGCTATTCGTGGCAGCTATGTAGTGATTAGATGAATAACTAACGGGCTTTTGTCATTCTGTGGTAAAGGCTTTAGTAGGTGGTGGATGTTGGAAATGGTTTTCTGCCACTGTTCGTAAATGAAATTTTTAATAGTTGCTTTTCTTTTTCTCTATTATTGATAAAATTCAGCTATTCCTAAAGTTTTCTGGTTACGCTTTGCGGGTGACTATGTTTATCTAAAGTGTAAATATTACAAATTGTTAGATACACATGAAAAGAGGGAGTTCAGATGCTAAACCAGGTGGTGTTTCAAAGGTACAAAGTTTCAGAGCTTTGCTTTGGGTTCTTTCCTAGCACAGCATCAAACAAGATGAGAACCTCTTATCGGTGCAGTTGTACGGTATTATCAGAGTTGAATCGTGTTGTGGTCAGACGTGTAGTCTTGGTTTTCATGTTTCAATGCGTATGAAGAGTTTTCACAGTAAATCACCAATATGTGGTAGGTACTTCTGCCATTTTAGGCTCGTAATGTTAATTTCGGCATTGTGTACCAGTTTTGTATGGTAACTCGAGTCTTCAGTAGCTTGGTACCTTAGTTGATGATGTGGCTCTAGAAGAACTGTTCGGTGGTGAGTACTGGATTTCTGTCTCCGAAGCGCAGAAGATGGGAAGGACAGTTGGTTTTAGGTGGAATGTATCTTCCCTTCTCTCTCCGTCCCTCCCTGGCATGACATAACATTAGGCAGATGCTAGTCTGTGTTTAGCCTTGTACGTAGTAAAATTGAAATCAAAAGTTGACTGAATCTTTTTCAAATGCTTAATGCATCGTGGTTTTTGCGTGTTCTTTTTTTCTGTGACGGGAAACTATGGGACGAGGTTTATTGTTTGACCTTAGTTTACGTATGCGTGAGACCATACGGGGGCATAGGTATGGACTTGGAAGACACTGGTGCAGAGATAAGGGGGGATGTTCACATCTGTGTGTCCACGGTGGGATCTGTGCTGATGGCAGTTTTACATGCATACGGCTTGATGGTGAGAGGTTGAGGAAGTTTGAGTTAGAGTCAAGAGCTGAATTATGTCTTTAGTTGATTGAGCATTGCATGGTGGCAAGAGCCATGCCAGGTAGAGCAAAAGAACTCAGTGGTGCTTTCTTCTTCCTCCTCTAACCCGACGTGTTAACATGTATGCTGTGTATCTGGTGTTTGGTGGTCAAAATGTAAAATGAGTGCCATCTTGCAGGGCTGTCTTCCGGGCATGGACATAAGTCCTGGTGGATTAGCTTTTACCTGGTTGAGATGTCTGTATGTCCATGTACTGGATGGCAAAACAGTACTAAAAATGCAGAATTGGTGTTCTTTATGAATGGAAAGATACAGCCCTGCTTGTTGCATAGTTTTTGTAACAAGTTACACCCTCTGATCATGGTCTGGTGAAGAGGAAATCCCTTGATGTTTGTTTCCTACTTGACGGGGAAAACAAAAGGCGTGAACAGATGGCCCCCAAAGTTGGGGGAGGAAAGAAAGAACAGGTGGGGTTTTGTGTCTGTGCTTCAGAAAACAGAGAAAAAAAAATGCGTAGGTCTGTGTGAGCACTTGCACACAACGGTGTGACTTGTGAGAGTGTGCACGGGGAAAAGGACAAAAGAGGTCACTGTGGGAGAGGACGGGTGTGCAGAACCTAACTTGATGTTGTAGCAAAGCTTTGCTAAGTAGGGAGCAACTCGTCTTTCTAGTAGGAGGTGCTAAAAGCACGTGATGTTGGAACTTTAAGTTCAGTTTCGTGTTAGACTACGTGGAAAATTTAGAATGACTTTTTTGCCTATTAAAATAGGACTCGGAACATATGCTAAGATACTTGTAGCATGAAATTTCCTTCATTCGTTTTTACATGCCTGTTAACATCGTGCTTTTCTAAGCTGCATTTCAATTTTTACAGTTTTATTCGATGCATCAGAACTGTAGGCTGTTCTGTTTGAGAGTAGTGAGAATTTGGTTATTCTGTTGTACATCATTTTTTTTTGATTGTAGAAGCATCAAACACACGAGGAGTGGTTACGGGCAAAGTAAACTTGGGCAAGTACAGAACATGCAATTTTTACTGCAGGATGAGAGAGGAGGAGAAATCTTGTAAAAGGCCTTCTGTTGGGGAGCGTCTGAACAATTGGATTATGTCACAGTATTGTTTGATCGGAGAAATACTGACCGAGAACCCAGATTAAATATTCTGATATTTGAGGTGGAGCATTTGTGTACCATTTACACCTTTTTTTTAGTTAAGAGACATAAAATACATCTAAAGACCATTAAAGGAAATGTCTGTTTACTTGGACTGGTAAATGGAAATGCTTTGTCTTTAGTTAGTACCTCCTGTAGAGAAGGCAGTGTTTCTCTGAGAAAGGAAAATGGAATTTTCAGTTAGACCAAGATACAGTTTTATTCACTACTGTTAGATGCCATGTCTTTTGTCACTATCACCCTGTATGGTGTTCTGTGTCGTGCTGAAACGGCTGAGAAGACAAGGCTGTAGAGCTAATGAAACTCTTGAGCTAAAAGGCAATTGTGAGAATACGGTAGAGTGTAACTGGAGGCTTGATGGAAAGCTCTGCAGGCCACATGTTGAAGATGTATCTCTTCTACCTTAGGAAAAGAAAACCAGCGATATTTAATGCCAGAAGTTAATTTTTGAAATCTTGCTCTGTTTAAATGACAGCACATAATAGAAGCATGCTAAAAACTTCATTGCAAGAGAAGTTTTCTCGTGATAACTTGTGGTTGTCTTGGTGCTGTACTGTTTGTAGGTGGATTGCTTTTTCTCCCCGTTGTGTGTTAGTAGTTGCTTTTTTAAATCACACCACGCTCATATTCTTGGCTGGAAGGTAAACAGGGAGAATTCTCCTTTTGAAACTTAAACTGCATAAAAGACCTAATTTGAGGGGAGAGTATGTGAGTGGGGGACAGACATTTTCCGATTTTGACGGTTTTCTTAGTAAATATTTCATAATGTTAGGAGGAACTGCAACCAGCTGTTAAATATCTCACTCAGATGAGATTTTTTTCAGTTAGGCTAAGTAGTAGGGATTTTGCATGAGTTGGTTGAGCCAAGAATCCTTCCGACTGCTCGGTAGTTTGCCTTTCCAGTGGTGAAATCTGTCACTTGGCTCCTGAACAGCGGAGTAATTCCTTTCTCTTGCTGCCTGCTGCAGCAGGCTTAGTCCTCTGGAAGAAGACAAATGGCAAGTCCTCAGATGAACCAAAACTGGCCTAAAAACAGCATTGTAGATGCACGGAGCGGAGCTGGCAGCAAGCAGTGAAGGACCCTGGCGAGGCAGGAGTGAACTGTTCCTTAGGTCCGGGGAGAAAACTAGGAGTTGCCTTCACCAGTTTGCCAAACTGGAAAGCTGCAGCCTGTGTGAGTATGACTTGGAAAAAGTAGTGCTGAGGAGCAAAGTACGATAGTGCACGACTGTCCCATTGTTGGCAGTTGTTGACATCAGAGCCGCTTTCATAGGAAGTTGGAAGTCGTCCCCTTCACCTTGCTGCGTTCCCAGGTTTGAAGGAGGAGGGCCAAGAGCCTTCAAAGGAGTGGAAGGAGGTTTCAAAGGTGCTTTTGAGATGTTTACCTGTATATTGCCAAACGCGATCTGACAGGAGATTTTGTTACCTGGTGGTATTGTTGAAATGATAAATTGAAGTCGTTTTGAAAGTAGTTCTCAGCCTACCTTCCTAAACAAATAAGGCGTTTAAGTTCAAGCTATGCGCTAGTACCGTGTCCTCATAAGTTTTGAGCTGATGGCAGACTTCAGAAGGAAAAGTTGTGTGAGCTCTTCACTTGTGACAAGAGAATAGATGGGAGGCTGGAGGGAGACCATACTGGAGTCCTGAGGTGAACTGGTCACTGTTCTGGTTCATTTGTCAGCTTGGATTCTTAGGGTATTTATCTGCAGGAATCTGAACTCATGATGCTTGTGAGACTGCTTTTAAACTTTGGGGACACACATGAATCTTAGGAGTAAAATGAATTGTATTTCCATCTTGATGAACTGTATTCCATGTGGAGGTAGATGACTGCTGTACTACAAACAGTAGCTGCTTTTATCCGAGGATGATGGAAGTTTCGAACTGTGTTGTAGGGGTGGCTGACACACGTGGTTTGTTTGTCTGACAGACTTGTGTTAAGATTGATTTTTTTATTTTGGTTTGGGATTGTATTTTGTATTTTGATTCCTTTTACTTCGAAGGCGTGCACTTTGGAGGCTGGTCAGCTTTGCGGGGGTGGGGGCGGCCTTTAAACTTGGTCTTTATAATCTAGTAAATGGTTCGTAGGCTTAGGGATGTGTTAGTGGAACTCTAGGAGGAGCGTCTTCTCTAAATGACTTGACGCAGTCCTCCTTTAGCAGGCAGTACACCACAAATGCATGCTAGGGGCTTTTCTCTCTAATGCACTGATCTCTTCCTTAATTTCTACATGTTTCACGACCAAAACAAATGGAGAGCACAGGAAGGTGGGTTCTTTAGAAGAACTTAGATGGCTCAGCATCTGTTTTCTGAAAAAGGCAGATATAATGGGTTGCATATTCTGCAGGCAACACTTTAAATAATTGTTTTTTTGAGAGAGATTCTGTGAAACCCTTGTTTGTGCGTTGTGTTTGAGTTGATTATATCTGGAACCTCTTGCTGGTCATTTTGCTTAAAAAAAGTGAGATAGCTGAGAGCATTTTTCTGTGAGTCAGAAGGAAAACAGTCGACACTAAAATAGTGATGACTTAGTTTTTTTGGTTTTGTGTGCTACTAGGGTTTAATGCCATTTGAGGGTAAGTTACTTCTTTGAAAGATGACTGGGTTGTGTGAAATATATAACAAAACCAGAATTATTCTATATCTTTCATGCTTTGAGGAGGTCAAAGAACCCAAACCAACAGTTTGCATACAAACTCATGGCAAGTACTATCTTAGGCCTTGTAGAGCGATAGCTATTTTTTAACTTTTCCCTACCAACGTTAAGGTGGACTTTAGAGTGCGGTGTGGAGATGTGAAGTCTATCTTAAGCTTTTCTAGTATATCCTGTGACTCCTAGTCACAGAGCAAATGGTTAAGATGATAAAAGGTACGTTCTTTGTATGCAATGGTGGAAAACCTTTGCTTCGATTGGTGAAGTAATACCCTTTTGAGTCGACTGAGGATGGTTTGGCTAACAAAGTACTTAAAAAGCAAATGCTTAAGTGACAACTGCAACTGTGGTGTGGTTCTGTTGTAAGTATATTTTGGTCACTTACATGGTTCTTAAAGGAGATCTGTTATTTTTCAGGTGGAATCGTTTATCTTGGATCAGGATGATCTTGAAAACCCTATGTTGGAAACAGCTTCTAAACTGCTTTTGTCAAGTACTGCCGACGGTGCTGACCTGAGAACAGTAGATCCAGAAACCCAGGCAAGATTAGAAGCTTTACTTGAAGCTGCAGGTAAGTAATCGTGTCCCACACAGGTTTAACTCTGAAGCCCTTACACATGAGACCATACTGGAACTGCTTGCCTAAGTCTAATCCATATGAGCACGATACAAGTGCGGAATGTAAGGCGGCGTGAACTTGGCAAGGCTGCGCAAGTCGTTGAAGAGAAAGCGGTTCTTTAAAGCATTTCAGATTTTGCAAAATAAGAGTTTCGTGTGAAGGCGGTGCTTCTAATCAGATTCCTTCAACGCTGGATTTCTAAGAACCTGAGTGAAAATTGCGGCCTGACCTTGGCTTGCAGCCTTATATCAAAACCTAAATTGCTCAATGAGGCTTTGTTTTGTAACAATTACTGTATGAAAAGCTTCGCTAGTTGCTTATACTAAGTAGTTGTCAATAGTTGAAAAATAATGCCTTCTGTGGCTTGGAGGGTTTCATTCATGTGCATCACATGTAAGCGCAGCTTTTCAATGAGCGTTGTAAACAGTTAATCCCTTCATTTTGGAAGCTGTAGTGCGTTATGCTTGGAATGCTTCTGCCAACACATCTCGTAGGCTCAATTTCAACTTCTCTGTTTTCTCCTTTCCTGGCACGCGTACCGATTTGTTGTAAATCGGAATGCAAGGAATAGGTAAGCTGTCTACAGCTGACGGTAAAGCATTTGCAGATCCTGAGGTGCTTCGCAGACTGACTTCTTCGGTCAGTTGCGCGTTGGATGAAGCTGCCGCTGCACTTACCCGGATGAGAGCAGAAAGCACAGCAAATGCAGGGCAGACGGACAAGTAAGCCACGCATTTTATATTGGATTTTTTCAGTAGTCTGCTACTTTTAGAGGCAATTTTTCTTGTTGTATCGCTTCTGATTACAGGATGGTGAAACTCTTGCTCGAGTGGAATTAGGGCCAAGTCACCACATGTGATTCTCCTGTTAAATATTCCTGGGCTGTCAGGTCTTGCAGTGGGGAGTAAAGCAACTAATACTGCTTAGAACTCAGAAATCACGCTCCGACTAATTTAACCTGACCAACTATAGAAACAAGATTTCTAAGCTCTGAAATAGGGTGAGCTTGAGAACTGTACCTAAAAATTGCAAATCCCAAAATGGGTCGTTCAGTGATAGCATGAAACCACCTTTGGAACTAAAAACCCACCAAAACAGTCCGTTGTTTTAGAGGTCTTTAGTGCGCCTTTCTAATTGAGGAAGGAGAACAGTGTTGAGGGACTGCAGCCTTCACGGCGGTCGGCAGCTTTCTCGCGTTGGGCAGGACCTCGGACATGGAGCCGCTGCTTTGGACCTCGAGCTTTTGGCCTTCTCTTAGGACAAGAGAGCCGTAGTAGGAGCAACCAAGTGCTGCTGTGCTAGCTGGCAGTTTGGTCCTGCTGTACTAAAGCCAAAGAAACTTTTCTTCCTGTGTTGATCGGGACCTATGAAGAACGCCAGAACAGTTTGGGGTTATGTCTGCTTCTGTTCTGTGCGCCTCCCTCTCTGCCCCCAGCTACCTCTTATTTTGGGAGCGGTGCTGTTGCCAAAGTTGTTATTGGAACGGAGGATGTGGGAAATGAAAATAAATGTGTGAAATGCGGTGGACAGACATATCGGAGAAATAATTCTCGTATGTATTAACATTGTGTCTGGTGGCACAAATTACATAAGCATTATGGGTACAATATACAGGTTAGTCCTCTCTACGCAAAAATGCGCTTTTACGTATTGAGTATTTTACAGACAGCTCATTCGCATTGAGTCACACAGCTTGCAAAAGTTATTCTGTCAGCTACCTTATTTTTCCCTTCCCTTTTGAGTTAGTTTTGTGTTGATGGGCCTAAATGGAGAAGAGCTGAAAGGGCAGTGGGGCGGGTGAGGCCAGTAGTCTTGGATTTATCATTATTGATCCAATTATTTGGAGCAGAACAGAGAAATACGTCAGACTGCAACCTTTATTCTCACAAAGCAATAATTGTTTTGGCATGAAGGCAATGTACACAGAAGACAATCGGAGGGATTGAAAATTGACTTCGAGTAGATCCTTTTTTGACTTGAACAGAATACGAGTGATAGAAGCAAAGAAATAATGGAATGACACGAGAACCACTAGTAGTCTGATTTTGGGCTTACCAAACCGGGAGAACTTGTCACTTGTCTGCTTGGTTGACTTAGGCCCACAACAGAAACATCAGGTTGCATTACAGAATTCTGGGCTTCTTAGCACACGACAGCGGGCAGGTGATTAGTTTTGTTATGGAAGAGTGATGCGGGTGGTTTGTTTTAGTTTAAGTTGCGGTGCTGAACAAAAGTTACTGTTGTTAAGTTGGACAGGTGATTTCTGTGTGTTCACTGGTCCTGGGGCAAAAGAGAATGTGAATGCAGCTCTGAGTAGAGGTTGCCGATTTGGAAAGAAATATCCATGGTGTTGTATTTAGCGTCATTTCATCAGTTGTCCTGTTCTTTGAACCTTACTTCAGAAAGCAAGTGGGACAAAACCTGTGTTATCAAACTGGAACTAAAAAGCAGGAACAGGCTGAGGCTGTATATTGTGTCATAATTCATAACATAAACCAACAGTGACTTGTTTGCAGTGCTGTATGATGAGCCTTTGAAAAGGGAAAGTTATTACTTGGGTCTCAGATTCTTAAATGGTTACCAAAAAAGGTTTTGTACTTCTGTACAACATAACATAGTGCTGCACCTGTAGTGCTGAGGCAGTGTATCAGGTCCACGGTCGTTTCTTCTTTCAACACGTTTTCTGCTTCAGTTGTACATAGTGTAGAATATAGTAATTCAAATGCTCGTCCTGCAGATGTTTCTCCTGTAGACTTCTGTTAAAATTTAATAACAGGAGCAGTTGAATATGCACATTGCTCAGTTTTCAGAAGAGTTATGTGGAAAACCTCGAGTGTTTTAAAAAAAAAAAAAGCACCTCTTTAATTAGCAGTTGGCACGTTTTTTAGATTGTGTTTTTTTTTCTGTTGACTGCATCCTGATGGAATGTTGGATTTTTACTCTGCATGTAGAGCAAGCATTTCAAGCATAGTCAATTTTCACTTCTAAATGTTTTCTATTTTTCTAGCCGCAGCTTGGCAGAGGCTTGTTCAGAAGGAGATGTAAACGCTGTGCGCAAGTTACTAATTGAAGGACGAAGTGTGAACGAGCACACAGAAGAAGGGGAAAGTCTCCTTTGTTTAGCCTGCTCAGCAGGATATTATGAGCTTGCGCAGGTTGGTTTCCTAGCTGGTTTTAGTACGTGTGTATTGTACGAAAATAAGTGTTGAAATGAAGTATTCCAGTCTTACGCACCTGGAAGGCGGTGTTAAGGTAGTGGAAAATGTCAGTTAACTGGCAAATCAAGACTTAAATGTAAACTGAATGTTGCTAATGCATTCTTTGTGCTTGCTCTCGCTATTGTGTTGGTAACACAGAACTGTGTGGTGGTGAAGGTGGGGGCTTCATGTGTCGTTTCAACAGTCTCAACATGTGGGTTTGTCACTTGCCAGCGTTGATCGCCCTTCTGTTCACAGGTTCTTCTGGCAATGCATGCTAATGTAGAGGACCGTGGTATTAAAGGAGACATAACACCTTTAATGGCTGCTGCTAATGGTGGACATGTCAAAATTGTCAAGTTGCTGCTAGCTCATGGTGCTGATGTGAATGCACAGTCATCAACAGGTAAATAAATGTGGTAGAGCTTGTTGAAAACAACTGAACAGCTGAGATTTGCAGCGGGTGTAAAGTTTTGTGGAAATTTGGGAGGAATGGCCCTCAGCCAAGCAATGCAGAATGCTTCCTTGCAGTTTTACTGCTTGGCCTTTGCTTTTTTTTTTAAAAAATCTATAAAGTAAGAAGCCAAAAAAGGTTTTTTATCGAAGCTGTAAAATAGTAGTTGGCTGCAGACATAGGAAGGTGGATGAGGCCATTTAGTAACTGAAACGTATTTGCATACGTAGGATTTGTTGTCATATAGTATTTTAGGCACAGTTTGGGAAGTTTGTGTGTACATAGAAAATTATTTGGTGTCAAGTCTAGGAAAGCAAGGGAAAATAGTGAATGTAAGAACATGCCAGCTGCTCCCTGCCCC